ACCACATACGGACTCGATCTCTTGGCGTCTTGGGTACAAGTCCTCGCTCAGCTACTCCACGATCAACGTTCTTGTTGTTCTGCCATTTCCGTTTGCATGCATGAGAAATCTCGATTTACAGTTAATGAGATTGATCACAGAAAGAAGAAAGAAATAGGGTGGTCCGGGTTTAATGGAGATTATATAAGTTTATACAAAAGACATCGATGAGTGGTAGTGGGATCTTGGCTGTATGTGTTTAAGAAAGTTAAAAGGTGCTTAACTTGATGAAGAAGCATTTGCTAGCTTTTTGAAATGGCTAATTTGCTCCTTAAATAAATACGAAGATACAGTCCTTTCTTGCTTTTTGACAGTCAAGATTCTCTTGGACTACATTTGTATACGTGTGTGTGGATATGTATATATGTGTGTTTTGAAATTAGGGTATGGCTTTTTTGGCCGTCCATTACCATATCACCGAAATAGAGATGAGATAGGGAGGCTTTTCTTTTTTCAAAGATGACTCTTTTTTCACTTTTCAGTGACCGACCATTCAAAGCTTCTTTTTCTTTATTCAGTAGATCTGATATTGACAAGTAATTAATTACAATTATCGGAATCTGAAAGCAATGCACCATAGACAGGCTTCTTTTTCGTTTTCACACACTTCAACGTGCCATGAAAATGGACGTGTCTCGATTGGAACATGTGAGGGGGATATGGGACATGGCACTGCTAGCTGCTCAAATCACTTCAAAAAAGCTTTTAATCACTATTTCAATGGCGGTTTCATGCAGTAGGATCTAGACTTCCAATCACCAATATCTTAGTTGAATTACAGTGAATTAGGTTGTGCTAAATCGTAGTGAGTTGAATTTCAATCACTAATATAAGTTTAATTATTCGTCCAAATTCTCTTAGGTGTTTAGGAAGGAAAAAGCTTTGATCGCAAACTCAATTAAAAAAAAAAAAAAAGAGAGTCATTTTCATTCTAACGATATCATTTGAATTTTTGAATCGAATGAAATACATGATTCAAGAAAGATGAAGAAATAAAAAAATATTATAAGAGCATCAATAAGAATAAAAATAAATAAAAATGATTTTAGATTTGTTTATCCTTTATATATTAAGGAAATTCATAGTTCAAGAATCAAAAAAGTTTTTTTTTTCTAAAAAAATATATTTAAGAAAACAATTCTTTTTAGTAACCAACTTTTCATTATTTTTAAAGAGACGGATCTTTTAAAAAATAATTTTTAAAATTGTTTTCGAAACAAGATTTATATGTTGTATAAATTTTTAAAGTAAAAGAAATAAAAATATTTATCTAAAAATCAACATACGTGATTTCAAAAAAAATCACTTTTATGTGCTCAAAATATGTCGTTTTAAGTTACTAATACGACTAATGAAGCAATCTAGCATAATACTGCTCAAAAGATATTGAAAAGTACACTTTTAATTTTACATGCAATTGGTCATATGTTTGGTTTATTTATCAGTATGAATCACACTGTTTTCTTAATTCAAAATATTTTTTTTTTAATGTTAAACCTGTTAGAAAAAATAAGATTTTAAAATTGTTAGTTAAAACAATATGTACTTTGGAAAAACAGTATTAAAAAAAATGGACTTTTAAGAGTTGATTGTCATTTTCAATGTCAAACTATCAATATTTCAAAAGACATTAAATATAATTTTTTTATATATTTCAGATAAATTTTTACAATAATTTTTTGGAGGTCAAATTAAATAAAAATTATCTTTAATAGTTTTTCTTACCATCTTACATATAAATATGTGCCTATAACGGATTTTACTTGGGTAGATTTTGAGCAAAAACTTAAAATTTAAAATAAATCTTTTTCATTGTCTTAAGCCTTTATTGAGACCTCATATTGAACTTTTCATTTGTAAATCTACTGTTTAAGAAAGAAATGTATAAATTCTTCATTTTTGTTTTATCGAGTACTGTAAGAAAAGTTTGTAAAATAGAACACAAAAGAGATGTGAGTTTGGTACCTTCATTTTCTAATGTATAGTGTAAAGGATCGAAAATTAAATGAAGTGAATTTATAACTTAGATATGGAAGTGAATAATAATGTTAGGGTTAACATTCCTTACACAGTAAATTAAAATGTTTAATAAGGTTATAAAAATGTCTTTACTATAATGACTCGTAAAAAGAAGTAAATAAATGATTTAAAGTAAATAAATAAATGTCATAGGGGTTAACATCCGCTAGTTCTTGAAGGGGTCCGGGATGTAAACTACTCACAACTTTTTTACTTATCAGGATTTGGATCCTGATTCTCTTGATCTGAAATAATTAATAGTAGGATGAACTACACTAGTCCCGTAAGAATATCATGTTAATCACTTATACAGAAAATAAATGTTGATGAAAATCACAAAACAACTAATGGAACCCTTAATTTAAATAAATTCATTTATCATAAAGTAATTAACAAGTTTCGAAATTTCTGAATTTTTTTATAAAAATCCAAAATACTCGTCACGCAACTAAAAATATCATAAAAATCCTAAATTGATGTTAAAAATTCTTTTCGATCAATTTTAAGATTCTGGCACGGCGGTGCCCACGTGCTCTGACACCGGTTCTGCTGCTCATGGCGACAATTCGCCTTGCCTTAGCCGATTTTGACTGATTTTATACATACCCCAACAGAAACATATGTTATGGGGTCTTTGTTGGCCGAAAATCACAGAAAAATCGAACCTACCGGCAGGGGGGTCTCCAAATGCGACAGCTCTGCCGATTTTTCTTTACGACTAGGGTTTCTTCTTCGGCTACCTTACATAGAAAACGACGGTGAACGTAATAGTTGGAAAATTGCGTGAAACAGGAAACAAAAAGGGGCTCATCGGAGGGGGCTCTGTCGGATATCCCCAATTTTTTACTCACCTGCTATCTCTTTTGCTCTAATATGGCTACAGGGAGGCTCGGAATCGAATTTTGAGTGAGTAGAAAAAACATTTACATTTTTTTGGCAGTCGATGGTAGTTTCGGTGTAGCAGCAGCAGTTGGCGGTCGACCTTCTTTTCTAGCATCTGATTCTTTTTCTCCGGCAAGTACCGACGGCTAGGGTTTGGGTTCTCCTACGAAGAGGAGTTTAAATACTCCTCTCCTCTTCGATCCATACCGTTCATTTATGTTGATGTAGAGCGAGAAGAACCGTTCAATCATTTCCTATTTAGGCTGATGGTGTAACGGCCCCGGAAATTTAAAATGAAATGTGTATTAAAAATATCAAATACGGAAGCGAAGTCAAAAAAAAAATTCGATTAACATTCCTTACACTAAAACTAAAAACGTGCTCACAAAATATAAAAGATCAAACTACCTAAAGGAGAAACTCGAAAGTAAAAGCTACGAATATGACTATGGAATCTTTAGGCGTCCCATTCGTCGTCCTCCTGCGGAACGGGCTCGGGAATAATGTCTTCCTGATCTGAAATGATTAAATAAGGAATGAGCTACACTAGCCCAGTAAAGACATCACGATATCTCACCGTCACGGAGGTAAAGGTGGGTAGAAAATACAAAAAGACCAATGGAGCATAATTTACAACAAATTCTTTTATCAATAATAAATCCTTCACCATCCACTTACCTCGGTGAAATTCATAAAACAGTATACGAAAGCAATAACATTATCATCATCATGAAATCATATATAAACTGTATAACATAATACTTATCACGCCTTTTGTAATTCAATCATTATACAACATATTTTTCCTCATTTTACCAGCCCACTAGTATCCATGGGGATCCATAGGGGTCCCGCTACCCGTTAACCCTTAACACTTGAAATCAGATTCCAGGGCTGTCCCCATACCCCGTCCGGTATGGGCGTCAAAACTATAAATCCCATTACCCCGTCCAGTATGAGGGTGAAACGGGCCGTCCCCATACCCCATCCGGTATGGGCGCCAAAACACATAAGGTCTTCATACCCCGTCCGGTATGAGAGACCACAATCCCGGTAGGGTTCCCTATGGACCCGGTCCGTCCACCATCTCCAAAGATATCTAATCAGGCTGACCACATTATACAATTACCAATTTACATAATCTTTCATTCTCCTTTTCCTCA